GGGGGGGGGGGGGGGGTTCGTTAACATGATCGACGGCTTAACGAGCGACAATTATTTCCTGGGAACGAGTTCACGAATACCGCGCAGCGGCAAAATTCGAAAAGCCCGGGGGCACGTCGACCGAGAATCGTTTTGATTCCCCGGATGGCGGCAAAGCTCTCGTCGGCTGTTGCTGTAGGTCAGAGTTCAGCCGATTAACCCCGCGGCGTGATTATACGCCGATTCGATATCGATGTCATTGGCGTTGATTATCCGCCAAACGAAAACTTGATATACTCGCTTGAGATATCTCGCTCTCGTTTCCTCGCAATCGCTCCTGCACTCCACTCTCCGTCATTCTTTCCTCTCTATCCACCTTGAGATCCACTCTCCCGCCACTCTTCACCAATCTTTCTATCAGTCTTCCTTTTCTCAAACAGTGCGGAATCGTTCCGCTCTTGCCGACGAATCACCGAGAATACCATTTCCTCCGCGTCGTTGACAGGTGCCCGACAGATCCCGAGATATCTATTTTCCATATCCAGGATTTTTCTTCTCGCTCGTCCGCTCGTCACCTTCGCCCTCCTGCACATACACGTTATTTCTTCGTGTTAGGCTTTTCTTTTTCTTCCCTCAATCTTCGAAAAGAGAAAGCATCAAAATAAATACACTTCTCATTGGCACATTTTGTTACATCTCAATTCCAATAGCACGAGCAATTCGAGCCGCTCTGTCGCTTTAATCAAGAGACGTCCTTAAACTATCTAATGAAGCGATAGGCTATTTTTAGGAATAGAGAATTCGATTCCATGGCATGCGTAAAGAGATGGCTGCGTTATTGCGATCGTTACGATCAATACGGATCGGTAGAGACAGAAGGTTCGAAGCGATTGCGGAGAAAGAGAGCGCTGATATAGAACGAATTTGGCGAATTTCCATATAAATTTGCTAGGCTCCGCGAGCGGATCACGTACACCGAACGAACGAGTGTACAGATGTGCCACGTGTGTGCCGCGAGATAAATATATCTCGCGAGATAAATTCTTGCTTTTTGTTTCTCCATATAACGCTCTACGACATAGGCATAGACGCGCGAGGAATGGCGAATTCCTCGTGGCGACATACAAAGGGACAAGACTCTATATGTATTACACAAATGTTGTTCTTTTATTTATTGTTTCAGCACTCAATGTTATATTTCTTTCATCACTATGAGCTGCCAGTGATTCTGCAACAGGCGCAGCTTCAGCAATTGCTATTTCGTAATCATATTCAGCCTCAGGCACAGCCAGCGACGCCCAGCACGGCCCCAACTACCCCGGGTCCAGGATCGCCGTCGCCGTCGTCGTCGTCGTCGTCACCGTCAGCGGCACCTTCACCTTCGTCAAGTCCGAATCCATCGACACCTACGACGGAACAGACGCAGCAAAACTATATCACCGAGCTTTCTCAGCTCGATTTAGAATCTAGCAATGCAGAGGCACAACATACGAATGCGGATACCACGCAACAAACGTCCGTGACAACGACGGCTGATCGTCGAGATGATTCTGTTCGAGGTACGTCGTGATTTTAATATATTTACCTGTCACGGCGTCATTTTTCGTCGAACCACCGGCTAAGAAATAATGCTAACAAATGTGATAAAAAAAATTGGATTTAAATTTAATTCAGATAAATGTTCCAATGACCGGACATGTATCTATGTCCGGACACTTGTATAAAATTTATCATTATTAATCTCAAATGTTCTTTTCAATATAATATTATAATTTAATTTTATAATGTGATTTTTAAATATAGCTAAATTATAATAAAATGTAAATTGTAATAAAAAGAGCATTTAGATTAATAATAAGAAATTTTGTGTAAGTGTCGTGCAGGTGTTTTGTTTATCTTAGTTGCAATTTTTTAATTTAGTAGTTGTAAATTTATATTTCTAGAAGTTGTTTTCCTTTTACATATATATATATATTTTTTTATTTGAAGAGAAATTGTGAATGGATTAAGTAAAATTTTATTTCCTAGCGTTTTATATATATAAAAGAATTAAACGTATCATTGGATATTGTATATTTAATCGAATTTCGATACCTAACGCACTGTTTCTGTAAATTTGTGTAGAGGAGCAAATTAAAGTGGTACATTTGATTATTTGGGTGCGTGTGCGTGTGTACATACCTATTTCAACTTTTATACTATAGTAGGAAAAAACTGTTCTCTCTATAACGCTTGCACTTGCGAGCGAGTTTAATTTTATGAAGCATATTAAGATTTATACGTTATTAGGAATGACGAGAAAAGCTGCATAATGGTCAAATGAAACAGGCCGATAGAAAAAGTGATTCTTGGAGATTTAATCTGATATCAGAGAAATATGTTTGAATAATTTTTGAGAGATCATGTAACCTATTGTAATCGTCAATAATTCCGTGATTACGCATTCCGCATGCCGGTTCGCGAAACGCGTGCGTTTCATCGGTTTAGAGTTTTGAGTGAGCACTTTGTAGATCCTGTGTCACTGACACTCGTCGCTTTGGAGCGCCTACATAGTTTGGCACGCGATACCGCGCTATCGTGTTTCAATTCGACGATCCAACTAGCACTGATTATTTTTCTGGGCTTTTAATTTCACCTCTCGTTTCACGTTCGTGGCTCGGATAATCGATAATCGTTTTAACACGCGCACGAGCGTGATGTTGGGAACCAGTTTATTTACAATACTGCGGTTTGACTTACAGTTGCGCGCTGCATCAAGTTTATACTATATTTAACTTTTATTGTGGATATTTATTATCTAATTTCTATCATATATTTGATATAAGTATGATATTTCTTCGTGGGTTTTGGTATATAATAAAGAATCAATCTTGCGTTAAATCACAGTGTCGGAGGACACGACAGTGTTCGCTACATCGACTTCTGTTGCAAAGACGGAAGCGGTTCCCTCAGCGTCCAGAGCTACGAGTTCGTTCACCGATACTTCGTCCTCCGAAGGCTTCGAGGTCATTGAGTCTGCTGAGGTGGCGAAGGAAGCGTCTGTCGAAAACAAAAAAGAACATTAGACTTTGACCAACCTTATGCCAACTGCGCGGCAGTTAGAGCACGGAGTGTATCGTTTCCATATGACTGCTTCCGCTCGATTTCTTTTCATAGGAAATCGGCGCAATTATTTTGTCACAGAACTTAACTATAAAGCAATATAGTCTCTCTATATATATGAGAATGCATATGTTAACATGTGTTCGATGTTTCGATGTTTCATTTCAATAGAATGAGGATGAAGTTAGAAACCGATTCTTTGAAAATGTCATAAGTATCACGCTTCGAGATCAGACTCAATGGACGAAGAGGCAAAGATTTATACAGTGATCTTATGGAAATAAATTTTCAATGATAATAATAATAGGTGATTATTACAGGATTCGAGTTTCATGCAGTTACACGTTTCAATGTTAGATTTGTTACAAGTCAAGCAAGTTAGAAGTTATATAATAGCAAAGTTAACTTTTACGAATGTAATTTCAAAATGATAAGATATGTGAGACCATGTTTTTAATTTATCGCACGTTTGAATTATTTCTGAATTAATTTCTCTTTATAATATAATTTTTTGATGCAATATTCTCTAAGAGTGTCTTATATTTAATATGATACAAGAGATTTCTTACTTGTTGAAAGATACGTCAGACACAAATGGAAAATAATATATATTGTAATAAATATATTATCTTCCATTTAAAACGTATCTTCGCGAATAGACTCTTGTTAACTTATTATCCTTCATAAATATAATATTTCTTTTATTGTATGAAGTGAATAATTTTGGTATCTTTTTTCTGCACATATATTTCTGTTTAATTATTCTATGTATTTATTCTATGTATATATTCTCACATATTCACTCGACAATTGACAAATTTGTATTCTTCAAAGATAATACAGTTAAAATAAGATAACTATTACTTTTATACTTTTATTTCTCATCAATTATATTAAAGATTACAAGATTACTCGAAGATTACACAAAATTATAATTCCAAAATTGATATTTTTACAGTGAAATTAATTGGGATGCCTGAAATTTTCGCTAAATAATTTTTTGCATAAATTCTTACAGCGAAATAGTTAAACATTGAACCGTTGTTTGCACTATCTCTGAACTCTTCGTCTTTTGAAAATGTTAGAGAAGCACCACTGTCGGCGAAACCACCAAGATTGCAGTTTCTAAGCGCAACAATCAGGATGTCTCTAAATATTCTTTTATTTCTTTTTTCGTTCATTCCACACATATACTATGATCTACCGGAATAGAAAGGAGATTGCAAGTAGCATGTATATTTACGAGTAAATTTTTCTATCGAACAAAGGGTTGTTAGAGAGGATGAGACTATTTCTTCAGTTTATATTATGATAAATGTATTAATTATACACACACACACATCAATAATGTTCGATCACCGATATAACTAAATAAATTTATAGATGAAGATTATTACGCGATCGATTGCAGCGTTTTCTCTGTTTTATCTCAATATTTTTTGATGCTCGATTATATTTGCTCGATTAAACTATGGCTTAAGAGATAATGGAATAAACACATAGTAGAGTTTTGATTAAGATGAATATTTCGAAATGACTGAATACTCGTGTAATGATGTAGAAAAAACTATTCGGCTAAAAATTTCCTTGATATAAATTCATCCGTAGATAATCTCGCGCTCAATAGCAAGTCATTCGAACGACAACGTTATATATGAGCATATAGCGAGAGTTACTAAATATTGATAATATATTTTTCATATATCTCTATTTTTCTTTATCCACTATATATTTTATAGCGTGTTTGGGTTTGGATCTTTTTCGAATATTGTGCCCATTTCACAGACATTTCTAACTCACACTATTTTATAATTAACCAATTATTAATTTTACGTTTTTTTAATTACTTTAAGTTGCAATTGTCACTTGCTGGAATGATAAAACGTTGCGAACTATTATAACGATAAAGAAAATGGGAAGAGAAAAAAATACATAAATCGGAAAAAAAAACAATTTTTGACAGAATCGCCGATGTCGTATTCTCCACCTTGATGCGTTGTTACTTAAGATTAATAATAATCGTTATAGTGTAAGTTTACACTATTAACTATATAATTTGTCCGTTCCGGAGATTTGTATGACGTTTAGTGATATATATTGTGTATAATATCATTGGCAAGCGAAGTGGTATGTTTTCTATTATGTGGACTGTGACATGTATGGAATATTGAAACAATTCATACAAAAAGAAAAAAAAACAAGACAAACTAGCACACACATTGGAGATCGATGTTAGTAACAAATGATGCGTATATATTTATCGCGTACCGTTGATGTAATTTATCGATCTTGGCATATATTACCAAATGATATTTCTGAGCTAAGCGATATTTTGACGAACAATAATGAAAAGAAGAAAAAACAATTGCGCAGAATTGTACAAATGTGCTCAGTTAAGACAGATACAAGGAAATTTGAAGAGAAGATTATTTAAGAATACTATCGACTGTAAAACCCCCAATTGCCTTTTATTGTTTCCCAAGTTACAATTTGTAGACGAGCGCTTCTGTAAAATATTTTTTTCCACTACTTATATATCGTATATATATATATATATATTTTTTTTTTTTCGTTGTATATATTATAAAATAATATTGTTACTATGATCCCTATTGTGCTACTATAACTGCTGTTAATATTAGATTAACTAAATAAAAATTAAAAATAAATGCAGAGATCTTATTCTATGTTTTGTCTTGATTTATTATCGATTCGACGTTTAACTTACCTCATCCCTATGCTATCGCGTCGCTTCGAACAGCACGGCAAATTCGAGATTTAAAAGCGATTCTTGCGAAATTGAAATTGATTGTTCAACTTGGAACGTAAGGCGGAGGATGCGCGGTGGATTGGGAGAACTGCGTTGGATTCCGTCCAAGTCGTGTGGATGGGATTGGCGGGGGAGGACGGGACAAACCGAAATAGACAAATAGACACTGGTATCCCTTTGAGGGAATCAAACAGGTGGCGTGGAATACGAAGATAACACGATAGAATGGAAAAAGAGAGAGAGAGAGAGAGAGAGAGAGAGAGAGAGAGAGAGAGAGAGAGAGAAGATGGAGCGGAAGACGAACTGCGTGGGCGAAGGGTAGAGGTGATTCGTGGAAATGCCCAAAGAGACACGACGCTCGTACAAATGTAGCGATTTATTTTCATTAAGACATAATTAGGAGTGAGTCGCATCGCGATCCGATTCCTCACTCAAGCCCTCCTTCGTTCTGTTGTATCGCTGTTCCGCGTTGTATGGTACACGTATGGAGACAACATCACGACACATCGCATTGGTGTCATTTCAGCTTAGTATTTCAAAGATGTACAATACAATCCTGTATCGCGCGTATAGCATTTTCTTTAGGAATTATCATTACTATGTCTTCTTTGTCATGGAATTTATTGTTATATCGTTGTGATCATCTCTTTCCTAATGGAAATTAATTAGAAATATAAATCTAATATT